GGGGGGGTCTGTGTGAGAGCGTGCACCTCCAAACACAGCAACAGCCGGGAGGACATGCGGAGAGGGTGCTTCTCTGCGGATCCTAACAATGTCCTTCTCTTACAGGGGGCAAAGGCATGGGCGGCTGGGAAGGTGGGATCTGTGTTCCGGGGATATTCCGCTGGCCCGGGGTGCTGCCGGCCGGCCGGGTCATCCATGAGCCCACGAGCCTGATGGACGTTTTCCCCACCGTGGTGCAGCTGGGCGGTGGCCAGGTCCCCCAGGACAGGTGCGTGGCGATGAGGCTGCCTATTCTCTGCTTTCTGAGAACTGTTTTTTCATTCTTTCGTATTTCCAGGAGGCCAGCCTAGTGGGGTGTGACTAAACCCAGTGAAATTTAAGATTAGTTAAAATATTTGCCTACATCACTCCTTTTCTGTTATAGCTAAAATTTTTCAAGTCACGTTGGACTCGTGCGATTACAAGAGATGGTCAGTGTCACCTGGACACATCCTTTGTTATTGTTATAAGGAGGATTACACTTTTAATGCAGTTGTTTTTCTTTCTTAAAACGTGTGCATTTTTTGGACACCCTCTGTCCATCTGTGTGTATGTCTGTGTGTGTGTATATACATATATATATAAAGGGACTGGCTCGCAGGATTATGAGAGCTGATAAATGCAAAATGCTTATAACAAGCCAGCACACTGGGACCTCAGGCATCATTTCTACGTGGCTATCTTGAGGCAGAATTCCACGTCCTCTGGGAAACCTTGCTCTTTGCTCTTAAATGCCGTCAACTGATTAGATGCGGCCCACCCACTTTATGGCCGGCCATCTCCTTTCCTTGAAGTCAACAGATTGTAGCTGTCCTTCACCTCAATAAAACACCTACTCAGAAACATTTAGACCACTTCTAGACCGAACAAATGGGCACATTTTGTAGCCAAATTGGTACAGGAAATGTTACCTTCAGAATTAAGGTATAGTTAAAAATAAAACAACAGGCTAACTGACTGTTTGAAGGACCATCCTTGGATTTGTATGTTGGATTCAGATTAAACCCTTCTCACCTTTTTTCTTCATTGTTTTTTATTGTTTCAGGTTAACGGAGGGTATAAAGAATTAGGTTACAATGTTTGCATTTGTTAGGTAAATTCCGTCTTATAACTATGTTCTTTTGTTTCTAAAGAAGGTTGTTTGTGAGAAGGGGGGTCCCCACCAGTGTGCCCAACACTGGCTTCTCTTGGTCACCTCCCTTCATGTGTCTTTGAATCTATTATGATTAAAAAGAAAGAACAGTCTAGCAGTCCTGTAGCTCAGTGGTTACGGTGCCAGCCACATACACTGAGGCTGGTGGGTTTGAACCCAGCCTGCGCCACCTAAAAGAACAATGACAACTGCAACAACAACAACAAAATAGCCAGGTGTTGTGGCAGGTGCCTGTAGTCCCAGCTACTTGGGAGGCTGAGGCAAAAGAATTGCTTATGCCCGAGAGTTTGAAATTGCTGTGAGCTGTGATGTCCCAGCACTCTACCCACAGCAATAGCTTAAGACTGTCTCAAAAAAAAAAAAATTAAACAAGAAAAGGGAAAATAGTCAATGGAGGAGGGTGGAATTTGAGAAAATGTTATGTAGATATGCGAGGTCACGACGCACCATTTGGGGTGTGCACATACAGGAGCGTTCTGGTTGTGTAGGAGCCCCAAACTGAACCCCCTGTGTTTGAGATTAACCACTTGTGTGTGACCTGTGACCGGGGAGCAGCTGGTCTCTGCTCTGTTTGCCGTCAGCTGGGGACGCTTGCAGCCCAGAGCTCCACTCCCAGGGGCACAGTGCTGTCTGAGAAACTTTGTTCTATGGTCTCTTTACTGAACCAGGGTGATGGATGGCCACAGCCTGCTGCCCTTGCTGCAAGGGGCTGCCCCACACTCGGCCCATGAGTTCCTGTTCCATTACTGTGGGAAGCATCTCCACGCCGCTCGCTGGCACCAAAAGGACAGTGAGTACTGCTCTGTGAGCTGCAGATGGGGCTCGTATCAGCCAGGGTTCTTCCAGGAAACAGACATAATAGATGTGTGGATGTGTGGGTGGGTGGATGGATGGATAGATGGGTTGATGGATAGATGCATAGATAAATAAGTAGCTCGGTATAGAGATACGATGGATGGTTAAATAGACAGGTGTTTTTTTTATTTTTTTGACACAGGCTCACTCTGTCACCCTCTGTAGAGTGCTATGGCATCACAGCTCACAGCAACCTCAAACTCTTGGGCTCAAGCAATTCTATTGCCTCAGCCTCCCGAGTAGCTGGAACTACAGGTGTCAGCCACAATGCCGGGGTATTTTCAAAGATGAGCTCTCACCCTGGCTCTGGCTGGTCTCGAACCTGTGAGCTCATGCAATCTACCCGTCTCAGCCTCCCAGAGTGCTGGGATTATAGGCATGAGCCACTGCACCTGGCCTTAGATACATAGATTGATAGAATAGATGGATAGACAGATGTGATAGGTGACACATGATGGGATAGGTTGATGGATAGATAAATAGGTATCTAGAAATAGAGATAGATGGATAGAATACATGGATAGATAGATTATTGATAGACTAGATGGATTGGTAGATGTGATAGATGAGGATAGGTTGGTGGATCAATGATAGACAGATATAGACAGATTGGTCACAGACAGACAGGTTGATGGATAGTTAGAAGACAGAAAGGACATGGATGGAGAATTTGATAGATAAAACATGTAGGTAGGTAAACAAGAAAGTCTAGACAGATAATAGGTGATAGATAGATAACAGGTAGATAGATGACAGATAAATAAGATAGGTTTACAGATAGATAAATAGGTATTTAGGTAGATATACAATAGATAGATGATAGATAGTTGATAGATGATAGATGGAATGGATGGATGGATGGATAGATAGATGATAGATAAATAAACTAAATAGATAATAAATTATGGAGAGATGGAATGGATGGATGGATGGATGGATAGATAGATGATAGATAAATAGATAGATAGATAATAGATGGAACGGATGAATGGATGGATATATAGATAGATAGGTAAGATAGATAGACAGATAGATAGATAGATAATAGATAAGTAGATAGATAATAGATGATAGAGAGATGGAACGGATGGATGTATAGATAGATAGATAAGATAGATGATAGATAGATAGATAAATTAGATAGATAGATTATAGATGATAGATAGATAGATGATAAATAAATTAGATAGATAATAAATGATACAGAGATGGAATGGATGGATGTACAGATAGATAAGATAGATAGATAAATTAGATAGATAGATTATAGATGATAGATGGAATCGATGGATGGATGGATGGATATATAGACAGGTAAGATAGATAGATGATAGATAAATAAATTAGATAGATAACAGATGATAGAGAGATGGAATGGATGGATGGATGGATATATAGACAGATAGGTAAGATAGATAGATAAATTAGATAGACAATAGATGATAGATAGATGATAAATAAATTAGATAGATAATAAATGATACAGAAATGGAATGGATGGATGTACAGGTAGATAAGATAGATGGATAGATAGATGATAAATAAATTAGATAGATAACAGATGATAGAGAGATGGAATGCATGGATTTATACATAGATAGATAGATACATAGATAGATAGATAGATAGATA